TGATGCTGGAAGGATCAGTAGGCCTTTATTAATTGTTGAAGGACAAAGTCTGTTATTAAAGAAAAGTCATATTGATATGTTAAAGGAAAGAGATTACAATAATGACGGATGGCAACAATTAGTTGGTAGTGAAGTTGTTGAATATGTTGATACATTGGAAGAGGAAACTGTTATGATTGCGATGATCAAATTCTTGTACAAGTTCTGGTTGGACAACCTATGGAAGCAAGAGCAAGGTAAATCATATTCTTTTCCTTCTTAACATTCGTTTGTTCGTATTAATGGTTTTATGATATTTTACAACATTCAGAGATGGAGGTTTGCGATTTGGTGAAATGGAACGTGATTGTCAAAAAGGGAACGTTTGTTCGAAGCATCAGATCCATATCGGATACATATATGTAATTTTTGTGGTTTAATTGCAATAGCTAATTCGAGGAATAATACATTTGAATGCAAGGGATGTAAAAACAAAACACAAGTTTCTCAAATTAAATTGCCATACGCGGCAAAATTACTCTTCCAAGAACTTATGGCAATGAACATTGCACCCTGGTTAATGGTAACATAAACATTAATATAGTTACCAAAACACTAGACTATTGGAATGTGCGGAATCTGAAGTTACCGATTCCGAGTAGATTGAAAATATTTGGTTATGGATAGTCTGATTCTAGTCAGACTTAGATATATCTAATTTAAATTTAAGTTGCTGAATTTTGTGCGGATCCCGCATAGTCCTACTAGTCATACATTTATTTATTATAAATGAAATGTAACAACGTATCCGAACCTCAAACTTTATAATAAATATCAGACATATTTTTTATTGTCCATAATTTTATGTACCTAGTTAAAATCTTGCAATTATATATTTTTTAATTTATTATGTATAAAGTGTCATTGTGTGGACTTAACACAGTTCTTTATATTAAATATAACTGTTTAGTCTATACATTATTTCGTTGTTTATTCTTTCTGTCTATTTATTTAAATATAATTTAAAAAATGTATAATAAATAACTCAAAAATGATTTTTATATTATTAGTATTATTTATTATTTCTATTAGATAAAATATTTTTTTATAACAAAGGTAACTTCAAAAATATAATCACATATTGAAATATTATATTTAAATCAACTGTATAAGGCATACATCTAAAATGCAAAATCGTGCTCTACACACTGGACAAGTACATTTAGATGATAACCACGTTTCAGGTGCCTCTTCGTCTTGTCTTGATGCAAACCTATAAAAAAAAAATTTCTAATAATATTAAAAAAAATTATAAATATTATGAACTAACCATTTTGCCATACAATCTATGCACCACATTGGGCGACAATAACATTTCATACAGTCTTCAGAATTTCCACTTCCTATACCACTACTACATTGTTTATGTAATTTTATATTTGATGAAGCTTGCATACATCCTATACATTGATTTAATTCCTTTAAATATTTTTATATTACAATTAGTTCATTCATACAAATGAAGTATTGAATTTATAAAATAAATAAAATATACACACTTCTGCATATTCATAACGTGGATTTTCTTGTACTTGTTGTTTAAAATTATCAATGAATTTATCAAGTAAAGTTTTGTGAAACGTTATGTTTTGTAATATAACAATTGGACGAGAAACTTTATCTTGTAAATTTTTAAAATCAAATACATTCAATCGTATATCAAATGGTTGTGATCCTGCTCTAGTAGGTTTTACCTATAGCAACAAAACTACAATTAATGAAAGTTTAAAATCTTGATGAAAAATCATAGTTTTTTCTAAAAGAAGATTAATTTAGAATGATAAAATATACCTCTATATTGATAAACTGAACTTCTCCTCTTGTCGTAGGTGACATTTCATGAGTATCACTTCTGTTAACTATTAAAGCTGTATCACTCTGATGAGCAACCATTATTTTATAAGGTAGAACTTTAATTATCCAATTGTCAGTGACTATTACACATGTTATACTATTTGTTGTAAGTATTACTTTATCTATTCTAAAATAGAGTATTAATGATTTAATCACTTTTAGAAATAATATCGCAGAAACAGAGTTCTCGATATGATATATAACCTTTGATATTCTACATTAATATCAGGAGCTATTGTAGTCCATATGTTATTATCACTATTGTTAGAATAAACTGCAAGATTCTTTGCTATAGGATGTTTTTTCCAATTATTCATTGACCATATTAAAATTTTAGATAAAGTATATACCGGCACCAATATAGAACAAGCAAGAAATATTGACCATAAATTGACATGACTTAGTATTACACTGATATTGTCTATGTGTCCAAACAGAATTAAACCAAAGGCATAACCTGATTAAAAGAAAGATCATTTTAATATGTAATATTAACGACATTTAGAACAAGAAAAAATATATTTACCACAAGGCAGTATAGAGTGTACAAATAATGTAATGACACTTCTTTTTATGTGATACTGTACAAAAAATTCATTTTCACTGCCTAACCAATTTGAAAATATGTCTTTTACTGTGAAACCGGCTAACACGAATTCTGTAGGTGGATATATAATACATCCTGACATTAGAATATAAAACAAAGTGTAAAAGAAAAAGGCAGACATCTTTTACAACAATATATTTCCAATTGTATATTTTCAATTTTTCGCTTGATATTTACAAACTTTTACATAAAAATATATATATATATTTTTTATATTTAATGATTAAGCACCTTACTTCATCAACAATATTCAAAATACAATACATAATAGGTTAGCTGTAACTATTATGATGGATCCTTATGAAATTTGTCTTCCAATTGTCTAATACACATGTGTTTTTATGTATATTTTTCATTACATAAGAATTACAAAAATGTTCTACATTTTTTGTCATGTTATACAGTTTGAAGATGATCATTTTGAATTGTATTGCAACAAATAAAATGAAAATAATTCTTTTAAAATATTACGTGAAAATCAGCCTGTAATTAGTTCTATATGTGTTATAAATATATAGTCAATAGTTTATGACAACTCGTAAGTTGCCTTTTGTTGTTGTGAGAAATATGTATATTTGTGAGTGTGTATATTTATAATTATATTTGCAATTATTAAATGATGATAATATATAGAATGTAACATTAAAACAATATGATAAGTACAATCTTTTCTGTAATTGTAAGTAATAAACAATAAGATTTATAAATTTATTGTTTATATTTACACAAGATCATTATATTCTCATATTTATGTTAACACCTATAAATTATTTGTTTGATGAAAATTGTATTAAAGATTTGAAATGTTGAATCTTGTTGAAATATATGACGTGATAATTGTGTTAACATTTATTTTTAATGTTTATATTTATGATACTCACTGCAATAAGTAGTTTATTAACTTCAACTTTTCCATTAATTAAAATTGATATTCTTCAGGCAAAAATCTGTCTTTTTCAAAAATGAGAGCTATTTTGTTGTTTTTAATTTTAATTCAAACAAGAGGGAAAACAATTCAGACTTGTCCAAAGTATTGCACGTGTAAACTTGGCGCACAAGCTGAATGGCTACGTATCAAATGCAGTAATGAATTGCAGAATATTAGAGACATTAATATCAACAGTGTCAGTGTGGAATTAGTTCAATTGTAAGATTATTGCACTATCACAAGTTATTCTATAACAAATCTTTTTACTCATAATATTTTCATTGTGTTTAATATATTTCAGAGATTTAAGTAAAAATAACATTTATACTATTGAAGCTAATATATTTAAGAATCTGACAAATTTGAAACGTTTAAATTTGTCACAAAACTATATAACTTCTATTGATACAGAATGTTTTAATGGTCTTGGAAATTTAGAAAGACTGTAAGAATATTAATATATCAGTTAATACATTATTCATTATTAAATATATTAATCTTACAAATATATTTAATTTTTATTTAGGGACTTAAGTAAAAATCAAATTTCAACTATAGATGCTTATACATTTAGAAAGTTGCCAAATTTGAAAAGACTGTAAGTTTATAGTAGTAAAATATATTGACATATTTGTACGTACATTCTTTTATCTTATATATAATTTATTTGATTATTAGTGATTTGTCTGGCAACAACATAAGTATGGTGAAACCATCATTATTTCATGATTTACTGGCTTTAGAACGCTTGTAAGTGAATCTCTAATTTTAATTTTTTATTTACTTTCTTTGCATTTATTTTGCTTACTACAAATACATATGTGCACTATCTATAGTATAAATAAAAAATAAATCTACAAATATATGTTTATAATATTCATAAATATTTAAAAATATTGATCTATAAAATTATATTATAGGAAATTAAATGAAAATAAATTAACAACTTTAATGGAAGGTACCTTTTTTGGCCTAAATTCTTTAAAACAGTTGTAAGTAAGTTATATAATACATATATATACATATATGAAATAAGATTATTCAAATTTCAATTTATGTTTTAGAGATTTGTCTAATAATCCATGGAGATGTGATTGTGAATTGTATTGGTTTAGTAATTGGATTCACAACAGTTCTATTAAACTAAAGTAATACATTTTATGAATATAAAAATAAAAATTTGATATAATTTTTAACAAGTTTTGAAATATTTCAGTCCTGCCCCCAAATGTGCATCACCTGTAAATATTAAAGGTGAATTTGTAAAAAAATTGAAATATTCAGAAAATATTCAGTGTCAGTTGTTACCCCCTACAATTGAACTTCGACCAATTCATAATCAAGTAGTATTTGCTGGAGATTCTATAACTTTAAAATGCAGAGCACCTAGTATAACAGATGATAAAAATGCAAGATTAAGTTGGTTATGGTACCCTAATACTACTACTGAAAATGCAGATTTAAATGCATTTTTAGATCCACAAAAAAGTTTATCTAATATTAAAGTTGATAATAGATATCTTGCAGATAGCGGAATTGTGGACAGGTATTTTAGCATTTAATAAAATTAAATTATAATATAAATATATAAAAGTATAAAAAACATAAAATAAACATATATATACAATTTTTGTAGTTCTCTTAGTATTGTTCCTATTAAAGACGAACATAATGGTCAATGGAACTGTTTATTAGTTTCTGTAAATGGTAATAGAACAAAAGCAATCAGTGTAATTGTTATCTCTGAAGAAACTCGTTACTGTCCTCTGGCAGGTAAATTATATATTTTAAACTATGCATCAAATTTCAAACTATTTAATAAATTATGTTATTATGTTACAGTAACAAAAAATAATAAAGGTATTTATACATGGCCAAAAACTGTAGTAGGATGGAGAGCAGAATTACCATGTGAAGGCAACCATTTATCAGGTTTAATGCAAATGCCTTTAAAAGCTTCCTATCAGTGTAATGTTACAGGATATTGGGAGAATTTAAACACAGAATTATGTCCTTACATATCACATATAACAAAAAGTTTAGAACAATTTTCTAAAGTTAATCTTTCTCTTACGAGAATCAATTTATTAGAAAGTGCAAAGAAATTTAAAAATTTTACAGGAAATTCCATAAAAATAACTGATCCTATTGAAGTAGATTTTATAACTCAAACTATAGAAAATTATTTAAATTTTCTAATTGAAGGAAAAGAACTTGGCACTATGTTAATCGATGTTATCAATACTCTGATTAATGTACCAAAGAATATTTTAAAAAAAGCTGAAATTTCTTTTAAATCTTGTACGCGACTAATAAAAGCTGTAGAAAAGATTATAGAACATACTCCATCTATACAATTTTACAAGAAAAATATGGCCCTAGAAGAATTTAGAGTAAAACGTGATAGTTTTACAGGATTAATATGTACATGGTATTCGAATAATAATCCAGAAATACGATTTTTACAATGTACAACAAACAATAGAACATCTCCCATTAATATAAAAGATAGAACAATTGAAGCATCAATACATTTACCTGCATCTTTATTACAATATTCACAAGAAGTTATTGCTCATCAATTAATGATTTCTGTATATAGTAATAATAGATTGTTCCCTAAAATAATCAATAATGATAATATGGATGTAGCATCCTGTATTATTGGAAGCAAATTATGTATGTAACTATAAATAAATGTCAAAAATATTTATTAAAACTGAAAGTTATAATAATGAATAATGTGAATTTTGTTTTAGATGGGATGTCAATACAAAATTTAACTGAACCTGTATACATTATGTTAAAGGCACCTTTGTATTATTACGCTGGGAAGAAACTTTTACCAGTAGTTTGGGATGATACATTAAATAAATCAGGAGGTTGGACAAGTGATGGTTGTTATTTAAGAAATATATTGAACAATTTAATAATATTTCATTGTAATAGATTGGGATATTATGGTCTTTTACAAGACACTTCTACACTTGATTATGATGGTAACAGGTAAGTGATTTAGTAAATTTTTCTGTTTGTAAATTAATTTTTAATACTTTTGTTTTTAGCATAAGCGGCGCAAAATTTAGATATTCAAATCCTGCAATATATATTGGAAGTATTACAATAATAACATGTTTAGTTATTATGTGTATCACATATATCATTTGTTACACATCAATTACAATGCCTAAAAAAGCAAAACATTGCGTTATTAATACTTGGTTTGCTATGGCATTATTATCATTTTTTTATAGCATTGGTATCTACCAAACAGAAAATATACCAATTTGTCAAGGTGTTGGTCTTATTTTGCATTATTTATCTTTATGTTGTTTGTTATGGATGGCAGTGTTTGCGAGGTAATCATATTTTATAAAATTAATATACATCATGTATGATTAATAAATATTAAAAAATTAATTTGTTTGCAGCAACATGTACAAAAAATTATCCAAATCAGATCTCGAAGAAGATATTCCAGATAATGATCTTCAAGATCCACCAATACCAAAACCATTATTGGGACTTTATTTAGTTGGCTGGGGCATAGCTATGATTATTTGTGGTATATCTGGCGCAATAAATCTACGAGAATACGCTGGATATTCATATTGTTTTCTCACATCCGCTCCTGCTCTTGTTGCTCTGTTTGTTCCAGCTGGATTTCTAATTGTATATTTATTTATTTTTCATTTACTCATTAAATGTTCAATTCAAAATGTTGACATGAATGCTCAGTTGTCTGAAGGTACACAAGCAACAGAAAATATGGATTTGGAATTATTGGAGCCAAGTACAAATATTTCTATTGATAGAAATAGTGCACATAGTGTACAAACTGTATTGTCTGATATTGAAGATTCAGAACATTCTCAAATTACTCAATTGAAAGGTCAAATTATTATATTAACTTTATATTTGATATCATGGATTACTGCAGCAGCAGCTACAACAAAGTCATTAAATGCATATATTTCATTTGATGAAACTATATTTGCTATTTTATATTCACTTTTTTCTAGTTCACTTGGAATTTTCATTCTTTTCTTTTATGGAATTGCACGAAATGATGTTAGGTCACAATGGTTAAGAATGGGTTGTTGGTTTCAGAAACGGAAAAATCAATGTTGTCGAACAAGAAGTATCTCTGATGCAAATCCAGTAATAACAACACAATCTTTAGTACAAAATTTGGTGGCTCCAATGTCTAATTCTCAAGCTACTCAAGTTACATCTGATTCAAATTCCATTAGCTCGTCCAGATACACCAATAGATCGCAAACATATAATGCATTTAAAGTTACAGATATTGTCACCAATAAAAAAGTATCGCCTGTTGGTAGAAAAATGACAAATATGAACTTAGTTGTATTGCACCGACAACAATACAGATCTGATAATTCTGTAACAACATACATTGAACCCACTTGTGTTGAAATGTTCTATAATCCTCATCAAAGTGGAGTTGCCAGAAAATTTTTTAGAAAACAACGTCGTCATACAAAAAATAGTAATCTTGGTCCTCGAAAACAAGGCGATGGTGGTGCTATGAGTGATGCTGGTAGTTGCATTTCTGTATCACGGTCGACCACAAAATTAGAAAGTAATATAGATCAAACTATCTTAAGTAGCAGTGCAAAAGTGAATAATACAAACATTCATGTTGAATTAAATCCAATAAATGACGTTAAAAACGTTAATATACTCTCAGATAGTGGTGGTAGTATTTCAGAGGAAAGAAATGTTCCAATGCGATTTGTTATTGGCCAAGAAGATTTTTTTCGAAATGTAAGAAAAGTTAACAACAATTGTAGATTACACGAGTCTATAAATACAGTATCTAACTCTGCAAGAAACAATTGCCAAAAAATAGAATTATTGAATATAACTTTACATGAGTCAGACATGGAAATCAAAACTGATGAAGAAAAGCATTTGCAGAGTGTTTCACAACAATGCAGTTTAGAATACAGTTCGGAAATAGAATCTATTACTCAGATGACTAGTGAAAAAAGTGATCATAATTTACCAGAAATTTATGAAACTGTAGAAACAATTATGGAAGCAAATCTTTTAAAAAAGGACTGTCAAAATGAGAATGAATTCCATGAAGTAGAGAAACACCAGTCAAATGCCAATTTAAAATGGTTAACTCATTCTAATAGCATGCACTGTCTTCCAATAGATACTGCAAAACCATTACGAAATAATTATTGTAATTCATTAAATGACATTACATCTCTTGCCAGTTTCAAGAAATGTGAATATTTGAAATCATTTTCAGACTTGCAGAATATTGCAAGTTCGAATTTATGCAATAAAAATTCCCTTTCTGAAAAATCATTTAGTAAATTAGAACTATCTTTCTCTAAAGTAAACAGTGAAGTTAAAGATAATTTACATAATTTAGTACAGAATATTACTTCCACAAGAAATATTGAATGTGCCTCCAATGTGTGCACTGATGAATTGAAATCTAAACAAAAATGTATCAATTCTATGATTGATATGACATCATTTATGCATAGTTCTTGCAATATAGTAAGAAATTTAGATTCAAACAATGAAGTAGAAAGTTTAAACAAACAACAAAATATACAGCACATTGAAGGTAGTGAAGTACACTTAAATAATCCAAATACTTATCTACAAATAGTTAAAAAAGAAACAAGCGTTTAATCTAGTTTTGCTTATATAGAGCATAATATATTTATATTAATAAAAATTTCATCTATCAAGAGTAAAATAATTTTTGGAATATTTACATTTTTATAATATTCAAAAAAATACTTATTTTACTTTGTTTTATTAATTTATCTACAAACATAGTTCCTATATATGAAAAAAAATCATTCTTTTTTATAAAACTGTTTTATCTCTTTTTACATTGCTATTAATCTTTTTACTTTTTTAGCATGTCAAATATTTTTAATGTATTTTTATTCATATAAATATATAAAACTTATTAAACTATTTGTTGGATATGTATTTATTCAAAGAAAATTGTACATAATTAATACAAACAAATTCCATATTTTTGTGCAGTCTATAAAACTCATTTTTCTTTTGTATATACATTGTTCTGCAGAAAGAGTGCTCAAAAATCATAATAGCACTATAAAATCATAATATTTAATGACATTTGCTTCATTCATATATCATTTAGAAGTAAAGAATATTTTATATTCAGTTTAATTGAATTTCTACCAATGATTTTAAATATAACTTATAAAGTTTTTATTATTTTTATAATTGCATATGTAATTTATAAAATATGCTCCAAGACTGAATATTTTATTAAATAAATTTGAAAATACATTAACCTTATTATTATCGTTAGTTTTTTTACACGTGTGAAATTATTTTGTAAAGATAAATAATTATTACGTATTTGAGATATACAATATATAAAATAATATTAAAAGATATAATGCACACACAAGTACATAAATTACATACAGTGTAATGTATAAGGATATTACTTTTATAAAATATATCTATAGGTATAATTTTTGTACATAATTTATAGTTTATACAGTATTTAATTTCTTAAATATAAAGTTTATACATGTAACTCTTTTCTTATACTTGAAAATATATTTAAATGTTATATATAAATTCATATTGTTTTTTATTAACATCCCACTTAAAAATAAACAAAAAAAAGAAAAGTAATTAAATACACCAATCAAAATTATTATTATAATTTATAATTTTAAGTTAAAAAATAGTGGTTTTATTAAAAGATGTTATTCATATTAATTTAACCATTCTTTAGGATTTTTCAATACATCAAGTAGTTCTGCTTCCTTTGAATCAGGTGTTGGTTCATGCATATATTTCCAATTTGCAGACAAAGGCAAAGACATTAATATACTTTCATATCTTGCACCAGGTGTATATAAGCCAAATTTTGTACCACGATCATATATTAAATTAAATTCAACATATCTTCCTCTACGTAACAATTGCCACTGTCTTTCTTTATATCCATATCCATCATCTTTATGTTGTTTAACTAATGGAATGTAAGAAGGGATAACAGCTTCTGCGCAAGACTTTATGAACTGAAATGCTTCTTCTTGGCTAGGAGTATCAATGTCATCAAAGAAGATACCACCTACTCCTCTACGTTCTCCTCTATGTCTAATGAAAAAGTAATCATCACACCATTTTTTGAATTTTGAATAATATGAAGAATCATGTTTGTCACACGCAGCTTTTAAAGTACCATGAAAATGTTTCACATCATCTTCATTTAAGTAATAAGGTGTAAGATCTGTACCACCTCCAAACCACCACTGAATTGAACCATCTGGATTTTCTACTTCAAAGTAACGATAGTTGAAATGTATTGTTGGAACCATAGGATTTCGAGGATGAATTACAGCACTTACACCAGCTGCAAAGAATGGCATAGATCCTTCTTGTAATTGTTTCCCCCGTGCTCTCATCTGTTGTACTGCAGCTGGTGGTAATGTGCCAGTAACAACAGACACATTTACACCAGCTTTTTCAAATACAACTCCATCTTGTAAAACACAAGTAATTCCTCCGCCACCTTCTTTTCTAATCCATCTATCAACTTTAAAAGAATAATCCGGATCTTCTAAGGATTCCAAAGCTTTACAAAACTCTGCCTGAGTTTTCATTACTAACAATTCCATTTTTGTTTTCATGTCATTTCTCTTCTTTAACTTGCTTATGTCAGTAATAGGTTCTGCCATGAATTTTTTAATATCCAATTCATTTTGTGCTGCAAATACTGTAATTCCTGAAGTATTGTAAACCATAATGCTTGTAAATATACCAAAACCAATATACTTGGTATTTTTTACTTTATTTTGAACACTATAATGTTTATAGTAAAAGTGGCGTAAGAAGACCCAATTTTTTAATAACGTTCGTGGAATCATAGTTATCTGCAATTAATTAATTCAATTGTTTTTAATTTTACATTAATAAATTACCAACTGAAAAGGTTAGTTTATATTTTCTATTTAAAAGTACATCATTTAAAAAAATATTAAAGTAAACAGTCAAAATTTTGATTTTTAATTAATGAAATTTTCATTTTAATTTAATAAATGAATTTTCTCAAAACTCCTCGTTTTATTTTAAATGAATTTAAATTTATAGTATACGACAGTCTACGAGTTTTAACAATTTAAATTTAAATTAGAAATGGAAGAAAAACTTAAATCATAAAATGGTGTAAAATATTGTAAAATATTATTACTTAGAGTTTTTTAGATGTGAAAAATAACAAGTGTGTCTTTTATCAAATTACAAATGATTATGGTGAGAATAGGAAATATATTATTTTGCAAGTAACTATAATTAACTGATAACGTGATTATCTACTCAGTTTAAGATACTTTAAAGTAAGTTTGAGACAAAATAAGTATTTATAAATACTGTGCGCATTCAGAAAAGAAAAATTTGTATCACAGGTTAACTAGCAACAAAGGGGTAAATCTATAAATTTGGTAGTTAGTATTATTAAATTTCTAAAATGTGGCTCAAAAAACAATGTAATCAATTGCTTAAATATCCTCAATTTTGCACAAGAATTTCGGTATGTTATTGCTTTTGCTTACAAATGTATATAATATAGAAGATATCTTTTCTTCTCAATATATATATATATAATTGACACATATATATTTTATCTTTATAGTTTAGAAAACAATCAACGCAATACAATGCAGACACAATACCCCATATTCCAGAACCTGAATATGATATTAATTTCTTGTGTAATCCATCTAATCGAGACACAATTTTTAATAATATAAAAGCAAGAAAAGCTGTTGGAGATATCGATAAAGTCCTTGAGCTTTCAGGGAAGCCAGAATTTAAAAAGTCTTTCTTGTATGAGTTAAACAAAATACCAAATCAAACAGATCCAAGGGTATTAACTTATGGCGAACAACCACGAATTTTAAAACAATGTGGACATGAGCCAGAATTTGATTTTAAGCCACAACAGTTCTCAACATTAGCTACAAATTTAAATACATTTAAAAGTCAATCATTGGGACCTTTAATTGGAACACGAGGTTACTTGTTCTTAGGAGATCTAGCACAATTAGAAGAAGCATTAATTCATTTTACAGTCAAAAAGTTAATGAAACACGGGTTTAAACTTGTTTCTGTACCTGATATTATTCCTACTGAAGTTATTGAGAGATGTGGGTTAATAACAGATAATGGAAGACACCTTGTATATAATTTAAGTCCTTTTTATGAAGGAGATTATAGTTTATCTGGAACGGCAGAAATGTCCTTAGCTTATAAAGTAATGAATAGTCTATTTGATTCAGCAGATTTACCATTGAAAATGGCTGCTGTAAGTAGGTGTTTTAGGGCAGAAGTATCTAATCTCTTGCATGAGAAAAATTTATATAGGTAAGAAAATATTGTGTTAATCTATAAACTATATTTTACTCATAATCAGTGTTCTATATCTATATTTAATTTATATCATTTAAATGTTTTTAATATGTAATTTTATCTGTTTACATTAAGGGTTCATCAATTTACGAAAGTTGAAATGTTTGTATGTTCAAAACATGTAGAATCTGAAGAACAATTTCAAGAACTTTTGAGCATTCAAGAAGATTTATTTTCTTCTTTGAATTTATATCTTCGAATAATTGATATGCCTCCTCACGATTTAGGATCCCCAGCATATAGGTATATAACAATAAAACTCCGTTTATATGACATTTGTCAAAAGAAAAATAATTTATATAATTCACTGATTCTGTCTGTTACGTACATATATTATTTACATTTAATGAATGTTTACATTTAAATAAATGAATTTAATAAGTTTAATCGGATACTGGCTAAAATTTAATTCAAATAAATGGAATTCTATTGTATAATATTATACATTGAGCTATTTTTTTAATATCTTTATAATCATAATTTATATATTTAGGAAAATAGATATAGAAGGATGGATGCCTGGAAGAAAATTATATGGAGAATTATCTAGCTGTAGTAATTGTACAGATTATCAGTCACGACGGCTTGGCATAAAATATAAAACAAAAAATGGAGAAACTTTACATGTTCATACCTTAAATGGAACTGCATGTGCCATACCTCGTATGTTAATTGCACTTTGTGAAACATATCAAACAAAACATAATCGTATTCGAGTCCCTGAAATTTTAGTACCTTATATGGCAGGAAAGACACTTATTAAAAAACAACCAATTGCCAATATGAAACTTTTTAAGTACAAACCACAAATCTAATACAATGAATATTTAACATTCTTTAGTGGAATTTAAAAACAAAAGTAATAATTATCCTTTTATTAGTTTTTTTTTTACGTTATTTGTATATAGGAATTTATTTGTAATTTATATCAAAATAAAAATAAATAAAACATTGCTCCCAATTATACATATTACAAAACTTTTCCTTAATTTTTAGAAACATTTTTACATTAATTTGCTCTAATCATAAAATATTTAATTATTATTATTATAAATTAATATTACAGGAAATCAAATAGGATTTATAAAAAATTCGAATATTAAACACCACCTGACAATATATTTTCTAAAAACTAGTACAATATCATACAAAGAATGTGGGTTTGAAAATTATACATACACAGGGATAAAGATCTTTTCTTCATTAACTTGTTATTCTGTATATATTTTATAGCGGTGTTATAAAAATGTAACACAAAATATTTTTTCTTAAAGTAATACAATTTAAAGACACTGTAAATTTTACAATTTATCTCCTTCGTTAATCAGATGGTAATATAATGTTTTTTTTTATTTATTAACAATTAAAAAATTGCATGTACCTGTCTTGATATAGTGTGTCTCAGAATGATACAAACTTTATTTTTTTCAAAATTTCTATTTACCAATATAATTCAATTGCTGTTCATATTTTGATCCATTTCAAAACTTTGGATACAAATATATTATTTTTTGATAATGAAGCTTATATTATTCTGAAATATAAAAATAATATAAAATTAAAAACAAAGCTGTAAAACATTGGTTAAACATACTTTTTGTATTTTTAATCTTCTTCTTCTCCTGATTCAGATTCTTCTTCTGCATTCTGTAACCATTCAACGAATTTTTTCATTTGATCTAAGAATAGCATTTTTCCTTTAACAGAATGGCCTTCTTTATACCACTTCAAAATTACTTCTTCTGATATTACATCCGCTAAAATAAAATACATTGAATAAGAAAAAAAAGGAATTATAATAAATCTGCATACTTGTTAGAATTATTAACATACTTTTATAAAATAGTAAAACAATTTTCTGGAAGACTTTCATAAAGTTCATATTCTCATAACAAAATTCCTGGACCTTGAGAATAAGCGCAAGCTCAGATCTGGCAGTGGTTGTAAAAGCATCAAATAGTGAAGTGTATACTTTTAAGTGTTTCAGTGCTTGATCAGCTACCAATTCTTCTTTTTTATTCCATTCAGCTTGACCCATTACTACAACCCAAATCTACAAACAATTGTTAACATTTTTGTTCAATTCTAACGTTATAATGTAGTATAATAACAATAGTTATAAAATAATTACCAGGCCAATAACTTCATGCTCGGGAATACCACTCTTTTGTGCCATTTCTTTGAGATCAAGTATAATGTCTTTCAAAGGACGATTATCAGCCAAGTCATCCAATAATAATTGTTGCAGATCTCGTTTTGCTTCTTGACTTGCTTGAGCTTTATGCAATTTTACAATGTCTGCAAGACCAACAGCTTCAAATACAGATCGAAAATACTCTTCAGTTCGTTTATTAGGCGGTACAAATTCCATTAACCTGTTGATCAATGTAAAGAAAGAAAGAAAGAAAAAGATAACGAGAATAAAACAAAAAAAAAATTGATACAACAATAGATTTTCTCATACCTTCCTTCAATATTTCCTTTTTTTAAAGCAGTCATTAAACTTGATAGACCTTTCTCTTGCCTCCAAGTGACGAAAACTTCTAATAGAAAGTCTAACGCTAAGTTATCTTTAACCAGATGTTCATTAATTAAAACTGATAAAACAGTGGGTGGAACAGAACCATTGGATATCCATAGAGCTGTCATTCTAGCTAATTTTATTCTTTCCTTAGGAGTAAAACCTTTCATAAAAACCAATACTTTTTTCATTTCTTCTTCAAACATTTTCTCCAAATATTTATAACGTCTCATAAGTTTAATGAAAACCTATAAATAAGATTATTTCCAAGGTCATTATTTAGAAGATCACACAATGACAACTTAATAGAGATCTTTCAAAGATATGTAAAATAGGATATATCACTTGTTCAAAATTTCGCATGGATTCCATATCTTCTGGTTGTTCAAAAACACAAGCGGTGGTTTTAACTGGTTTATCACCATCTTGAGCAATAGAACCGCCTGGAACCAAAAGTCCACCAGCTATTAAGATGTCAAATAGGTCTTCTCCATATCTGCGGTAATCTAATTTAGAGCCAGCTGCGTCCAAGTACTTTGAAATTGCATCTAAGTCGTTATCAGCCTTTTCCAAACCAAGTAAAATTGCATCTCGAAATCCCATAGGGTCATATTTTTCTTTTTCATCTAAAAGAACCATTATTACAATTAAGTATATTATTCAAGAAACTCTGTTTCCTCGAGCGTACCTCTTTTTCTGGTCTTTATGCGTTGACCTGATAATATTGGTTTTTCTATTTTTTGACTCATACAATACCTTTCTGAAATGATAAAAATTTCAATTAAGTTAAGTTTTGCCAGTTTTTTAATAAATTATAGAAAATTATATTATATAAATTATATATTATGTATATGTATGATGTGTATATATACATACACATACACAGTATTGTTGCCTTATGCATTAACATTCATAAATTTTGAAAATTACCTCTTCTACAAAAATTTCTTTAATATTTACTTGTATAACAGAGCGACGATTTAACAAGGTTAAAACGGAACTACAATGCGACCATAATGAGCTGGCATTTGACTTTAAATCTGTTGGCACTTCTTTGACAAATGGCGACTTTCATTAAATATATTCTATTACGTCAAAAATTCCTACTTATAAATAATAAAGCTCAATAGCATTCAAATATACATATATAATAAAGAAATTGTATATTTTAATTAGTTTATTACTTCTAAGGTTAAGGTGTAATGGAACCACGATAGTTAAAATTTGTACGAACGGTGAATCTTTGTAATAGTCAGGTTATACTAAAAGCAACTAAGTATTGCTTAGATTTTAATGGATTTTACTTTTTAACTTACTTAGATGCACGTACAACTGTAGAATTATCCCTTTTCAGGTGTATAAGGGCAATACGAAATATCTCAAAAAAGATTTTGAGCACTTGAGATCAGCGAAACCGAAGAGAATCAACTTGAAGAGAAGCCACAATTGACAGAGAATAGATAGGACACTTGGATTTGTATTTCGTAATGCGTTTCTAACGCCATCTGAACTATTCAAAACATAGTAATGGGAATAAAGTTTTCGTAGCGACATCTATTAAGGCAAAATCACAGGTAAAGCATATAATGACCATTGACTAAATGATGACATCAATTTTAAGAAATAATATCACGATTAGTTAATGATATCACATTTATTAAGGAAAGCAGCATACGTATATACGGCAATCTTCTCTAACATGATGTATTCCGGGGCTAATATTTACTCTTAGTAAAGATTAAAAAGGAACCAAAAATTATAGCATAAGAAGTAGGCACAAGGTATAATTATACTAAAAATGTGTCTATGACACAAACACAAGCAGAACCGACATGTAACTGAATAATTTGTTTAAATCTATCATCCAATATAAATTATAAACAAAAAGATAAGCATTAGATTTGAGATGAATCTCGGATATTGTAGTATATGACGAAAAAGATATATTTCGTTTATGCTACACGAGGTCCTGCAATCAAAATTATAATATATTCAAAGTAATTATAGTATATTTATTTTTAGAAAATTTTAAGAGCATACAGAAATTTTGATGTATAACAAAACAATTATTTGTATTTCTTAATTATTATTAAGTACTCAGTTGCAAATACTATATAGACTTTGTTACATATTTGATATAGTTCACCATTTAACAAAGTTACTTTTTACTTTTTTGTATTTTTTATAGTTATTCTTTTAATTTTTTATCTATTACCATTTATATAAAATTAATTATTTTTAAATAATTGTTTAATATTTTAAATGTTTCTTTTTTTATATATATAATAGAACATATTAAAACTATTTTATTTACCTGATATTCACTACAATCTGATATAATGACATAATTAAAACACATATTCACAATTATCAGTAAGCACTTCATAGTTTTGATGAATGTGTTCCTTTCCTTGGTATATCGCTGAATGGTTTTAGTAATGGATATAAACACTGACTAATTTTAAATGATAAAATATCATCAATTTTTTTCTGCTCAGCAATATTTGTTTCATTCGATGATGAAATATCTTCGTTAGATTCTATTACATCTTCATCTTCTAATTTTGATTCTTTTAATGTAGAAAGTACATGTACTGATAACTTGCGCTGAACATCATTTTGAAATATTTCCTGCAAACATTTAAATTTTATACACTCTTATTAAGTTTGTTTAATACGAATTAGTGTTTGTCTAAATAATGTAATTATATGTAATTATATGTACTTTGTAAAACTTCAATATTTGTTCCTGTGTTATAGTTCTTAAATATGCGACTTCAATATTTGCTCGATCGAAATTATATTGTTGTGATGTAATTTCACTCCAAAATATGGCAGATAAAGCAGTCATTTGCTTAGGTTTTTCAAGTCGTCGTATTGCTAACGATTCTTTATGTGCATGAAATTCCTCTTCTGTCATAGTTAATATATGTTGCTGAAATAAATTAACTTTGTACAAAAATTTTAAATTCAAATGAATCTAATAATATTTAAATTTTAATTACTAACCAACATAGAATTTAAAAACATATTAATTCTTTGTTCAACATATTTAGGATGTCTGTCACTTTGAACTATAATTCTTAAACCTTGTGCACCATTTGTTCTTCGAACTCCACTAAATACTATATATCCCAATTGTTCTTTAGTTCTTAATGTAGTAAAGCAAGGTTCTGATAGAATCTGTGCTAAAAGTTCTAGGAGCATATTTGATTCTGTTGATTGTAAACCCGTTTGATAATAAACTTGCGTACATGAACTACTATGAAATTTAGTTTTTGTTTCAAATAAAAATTGACAACCTAAAAAGATAAAATATTAATTTTTTTCTTTTTTAAAAAAAGAATATTATTAAAAGATTTTTAATGTTAAATATACCATCTTCTAGTTTGATTTCACGATGTAAAATTAACTGCCTAGATAATAGTGGTACCATATGAGGAACTGCGTTCGATAATTTTGATTCTATTGATTTTGCTGTTTCAATAGCTTCCGACATTGTTATATTACCATGCATTAAACATTCCATATGTATTTTGCTCAAAAATTGTGGAATGAAATTTTGTACTTTTTCAACTGTTAAATCTACAAATTGTATTATAATATATAATTATAATATAAATTATAAAAATTATAATATATATAATTAATAAATCATAAAATTTATGAGTATTTCTTCTAAATTTATTTATTAATTAAATAATTAAATTTTGTGTAAACTTACAAGATGTAGCATTTAATAATTCATCCTTCATCCAAATTTGTTCTGACAATAAAACAGCAAGATAATAAACTGCATGCTGATATGGCTGTTCAGCTTTATAGTTTTTTAAGCTTCTAATGTACTAGAATTAAAATGAAAATTAATTATAAATATAACAATATACATAAAAAATTAAGTAACACATACATTTTCTTTCCAAATCTCAAATCTTTTTGAATCAACTTTAAAATTAATCATTTTGTCTATAATTTTATTCAGTAACACATGTTGTTTATCATCATAGCCAACAATTCCCAACTAAAAAATATATACATTATATAATGTTGAAAATTAAATTTATATATATTACATGTAATAAACTTTTACTTACTATCATTCCATATTTACTATTAGTAAGCTCCCATTTAAGACCAACAATATCAGCAGCATATGCATATTCATTTAGAGCATCGCGGAACAACAATACAAATATATATGTTAGATTACAACTAAGAGGATCCATGTATGCTAATGGACTGTAATAAATTATATATATGTAAACTGACAATATGCTTATTGCTAATATAAATATAAATTAAGCAGAGGGACATAGTTTTAGAGTTACTTTTAGAATTACAAATTGATCACTAAAATTACCATTCAATACAGAACTTTATTTTCTTACTTATATTTTACCTGGCAAAATCAATAAATAAATTAGCTTTGGGTGTAAGAAATTCATCATCTTGTTTAAACCATAATCTTATTAATGAAGTATCTTCAATAATTATTGGAAATTTGGATATCTAAAAATAGTAAAATTATTTTTTCACAACATGCTTTTAATAATATACATATAGAGTATAGAGCATATAAAGTACATAAATTTACTCACAGTGCTTTCTGCTGGTTTTATATCAAATTTTTCAGGTATGAATTCATTCTTTGGTGGCAAATTCAAATCTGAATTTAAACCAGCATTAATCCATTTACTTATTATATTTTGTGATATTTTTTCTTTTTTAAATTTGACACCATACCACTTTTCACTTTCATCAGCTATATTTTCATATAATTTTGCAACTACATGAACTCTAACATTTTCTGGTTTCAAATATTCCATTACCCAGGTAATTAAATCTGGTTTCCATAATGGGAAAAGATGTTCTGCTATTAAAATTTCTTCCATTGGATAATCATATAATATTTGTGCTATACCAGTGGTATAATCACAAGGATAACCTTTTTCCTTGAATCGAAAATTTATATTTGCAATGTCTCTATATTCCTTTAAAATAAAACAATTATTTTATTAAATATTGAACTTTTTATATTCATGATTAACACTTCACCGACAGAATGCATATTTTCCTCCTTATTAATAAATATTTTATATCATTTATTATTTTTGTCTATTAACAGATTTCTTTTATAAATATATTTACAAATATATTTACAAATATATATTTTAAAATATAAAAGTCATAATAATTTGTTAAAGACATTGTAACTTGCATACAGAGGATTTTGGATTTTCCTGTTGTAAAATGCAGCAACATTAGCTTCTGATGGCAAAATGTTAATCTTTAAATCTGTATTAGATAATAATTGATTTATAAATAATTACATTATAAATCCATTCAACTGGTCCATGTTTCTTTAACATGTTAATATATTGGAAGGTTAATAGAACAATATCATCGACATGTTGAATACCTTCTTCTGTCAAATCAACGAAAACAGCAAAGAAACTGAAACCTCTAGCACCTAACCGTTTACCTGATCCAAGCGAATTGCACCATCCTTTTGCTTTCAACAAAGATAAAAGTGATCCTTCGCCTTCATGTCCTAATAAATGTGAAATATAATGTGCAGGCTGAAGAAATAAAAAATAGGTTAATTAAGAATAAAAAATTAATATATTAAAAAGTAACATAAACAGTTATTACCGCTGCTTTGTAATGTTCTCGCAAATCAGGTATAGGAAATATAATATACAAATTCCGAATGTCTTTTATTGGAACAACATACCACTTGTGTTGAAAATGTTCCTTTGGATTAAAAGGATGTTGTGGCCAAGTAGGTACTGTAATATCTTTATTTTTCACTTGAGAAAATAACTCTACTACCATTTTCTCAAGTTCATCTAAACTCTCTAATTATAAAAAAAGAAAAAATGAGTAAATAGCATTTTTTTATTCCATATTTAATAGAGTAAATAATAAATAAAATACTTTACTTACCTTTGCCAAGTACACATAATGCCATAATATTAGAAGAATAAAATTTATCATGAAACTCAAGTAACTTTTCCCTTACATTTATCCCTTTTTGTTTCGGAATTACATCCAAAGTTTCTTTATTTCCTGTAGAAAATTTTGAAAAAGGATGATTTGGGTCTGCTGATGATTTATCCAATTGATCAAGACGCCATGTATCGTTTGCTAAATTCTTTTCACATTCCAAATGAACAGCATTTAACTCTAGCTCAGTTAAAGCTTCTGTAAAGAGTGGTGCAATAAAAAATTGTGCAAAACGATCTAATGCACCTCTCAGTTTTTCTGCATGTACATCAAAATAATAAAGTGTATGATCCATGTGGGTTGATGCATTATATGTACCCCCATTTTGTGATAAATATTTATTATAATCATTTTTTTCTGGATATTTTTCCGTTCCTAAGAATAGCATGTGTTCACAAAAGTGTGCTAAACCTGGTAAATCATCTGGTTCACTTAAATTACCTACAAAGGCAATATTAAAATAATAGCAATAGTAATATATTGAATCACAAAATTAAAAATATAATTATATACTTGATTTTACCAATATTCACGTTCAAAGCAGCAGCACTTTTATCTGTTGAGGGATCACTAATAACTAAAACTTTCATTTTATTAAAAAGCAACAGACCTCTATATTCTCTTTTATCATTTGACGATTTAACTATATTATTATACCGTTCTTCTATAAAATTATGAATATCCATGTTTGATCTAGATACTTTTGAGGATTTGCACCTATGAATAAAGAAAATTACATATAATATGAAATAACTATTAGTATTATTTGTTCAAAATCGAAAGTAAATAAAAATAAAATTAAACATTTACTCTTTCCTTCTTTTTATTAAAAAGGCAAACAATATTGCTAATACATAAACAAATTTTTATTCAGCAATATAAACGTTAATATAACATCAAAATTTAAAATTATAAAGAAACAGTAACTTACTGATACTGATGTTTTATGTTCTGTGTGTAACTTCAGTTGATTACAAAACAATTTTTTTTTAATAACAAAGTTATTATAAATCACTAATCTAATTTTAAGTAATTTTTTGGTGATCAATGTAATATTTAATATTAATAAAAATATTGTGTATAAAAAGATAAAGTACAGCTAGCTAGGTTAGAATATGTATGAAAGAAGAGTAATACAGAATTATACTTCACAAAAATAATTTTTTGTATGAAAAATTAATTTCAGTATTTTCAAATGCGTTACATGTGAAATATATACTGATTATAAGATAACTATGATATAATATATATATATAAACTTCAGATTTATTGAATAATAACTAATAAATACATTCGTTTTACAAATTAGTAGATTCTATTCAGCTAGATTATGATCGAATTGTACTATGTAATGTTTCATGAAGAACGTATGCGTACCTGTAAACAGAGAAAGTGTGGGTTGACACGTAAAAAATACGAAATTTAAATATTTGTGCCAAAACCATATTTATTAAATTTTATATAAATTACTACTCAAAAATAAAATTTTATTTAATCTCGTTATCATGATTGTTTTATAATGTTTTGAAGTAAGTTACAGTGAATATCTATAGTTAATTTTTATTTCGTAATAATATAGTACAAACATATAACCGTTTATAAGAAAATAATTATAATTAACGATTGGAAAATGTATATATCTGTGGTATATATGTTTTTAATTGACAATAATTTAATTATTCCGATTTATAATTATACGGTATCGAACAAATATTAAATAAGAATAAATGTATTGATGTACGTAATAAAAAGGTAATTCAGGGAATAAGAACATTTAAATAAAGAGTAAACATTCTGTATATAAGTAAAAATAGATTTAAATTAACAAATGAATCTAGTTCTTTTTAATTTATTTGGATTATTCTTTTATTATGTTGGCAACAAAAATGAAAAAAGTAACTATAACTTAATAGTGGCAGCATTGTATCTTTTGTCGACATAACTATTATTTGTGATTGACATTAGTCAAACTTAGAAATATTTGTATTACATATTATTTATAAAGAAATTATTTGTGCAACATGTCAATTGAAATCGAATCTGCAGAGTAATTATTGTTTATTATAATATTTAATTGATTATATATGATAAAAATTTTTAATATTTCTATATTATTTTTTGATTTTAGTGTAATTCGTTTGATACAGCAATATCTTAAAGAATCAAATCTTGTCAAAACATTACAAACATTACAGGTAACTATTTATTTTCTTTATATATATTTTCTTTAGCAAATAGATAATGTGAATCAATTTTAATGTGTCAAAAAAATAAAACTGAAATTTTTTATAGGAAGAAACAGGAGTATCACTGAATACAGTAGATAGTGTAGATGGTTTTGTAGCAGATATAAATAATGGACATTGGGATACAGTATTAAAAGCAATACAGTCATTAAAGTTACCAGATAAAAAACTAATTGACTTATACGAACAGGTTTGTCTTTAAACTAAAAAAATTTTGGACATTACTTTTTATAAATATCAATTTTATATTTATAATAATCCATAGGTTGTCTTAGAATTAATCGAACTAAGAGAATTAGGAGCAGCTAGATCATTACTGAGACAAACGGATCCAATGATCATGATGAAACAACAAGAACCTGAAAGATATATACATCTAGGTATATTAAGTATATTTAACAAAATGAAATATTATTTTTTAAGAATATAATTTTATTTTAATTATGCATATTGTTTTAATACTATATCCTTTGCTGCAGAAAATTTACTTGCTCGATCATATTTTGATCCACGGGAAGCATATCCTGATGGAAGCACAAAAGAAAAACGAAGGGCATACATAGCCACAGCTCTTGCCGGTGAAGTATCAGTTGTACCGTCAAGTAGATTACTTGCATTATTAGGACAAGCATTAAAATGGCAACAACATCAAGGTTTACTTCCACCTGGTACTACAATAGATTTGTTCAGAGGAAAAGCAGCAGTGAGAGATCAAGAAGATGAAAAATACCCTACACAACTTTCGAAACAAATAAAGTTTGGTCAAAAATCTCATGTAGAATGCGCACGTTTTTCACCAGATGGTCAATATTTGGTTACTGGTTCTGTTGATGGATTTATCGAAGTATGGAATTTTACAACTGGCAAAATCAGGAAAGATTTAAAATATCAAGCTCAAGACAATTTCATGATGATGGAACAAGCAGTGTTATCAATGTCTTTTAGTCGTGATAGTGAAATGTTAGCTGGTGGTGGGCAAGATGGTAAAATAAAAGTGTGGAGAGTTCAAAGTGGGCAATGCTTAAGAAGATTTGAAAAAGCACATTCGAAAGGTGTTACATGTCTTCAATTTAGTAGAGATAATAGCCAAATTTTATCTGCATCATTTGATACTACTATAAGGTATATAAAATTAATAATTGTAATAAAAATTTATTTCTAGCATTATGATTATTTATTATACTTATAATACAGGATACATGGACTTAAATCGGGAAAAACTTTGAAGGAATTTCGAGGACATGCTTCTTTTGTAAATGAAGTAGTTTTCGCACCAGACGGACATAATATAATAAGTGCATCGTCAGATGGAACTGTAAAAGTTTGGAGTTTAAAGACAACAGAATGTATAGGTACATATAAGTCTTTAGGAGCTGCGGATTTAACTGTCAATAGCATACATGCTCTTCCTCGAAATCCGGAACATTTTGTTGTGTGTAATCGTTCAAATACAGTTGTAATTATGAATATGCAAGGACAAATAGTGAGGTCATTCTCTAGTGGAAAACGAGAAGGAGGTGATTTTGTATGTACTGTTGTAAGTCCGCGTGGTGAATTTATTTACTGTGTTGGTGAAGATCTTGTGCTTTATTGTTTTTCTACATCATCAGGGAAACTTGAAAGAACACTCAATGTAAGTATTTTTATTCTATAACTTGAATAATTTATTTTTTATTTACATTAAATGATATTATTATTACATTACAGATACACGAGAAAGATGTTATAGGTTTAACGCATCATCCACACCAAAATCTTTTATGTTCTTACAGTGAAGACGGTCTTTTAAAATTATGGAAACCATAAAATTAAATGTATATAAATTAAAGTATTTCTATCTAATCCCAGCGTTTTTTTTTTTTTTTTTGTTATATGATTGTTGTGCACCTTTAATTCTTAATTTTATAAAATACATAAGATGTTCATTTTTCTAAAGTTAGTTTTATTATGTAAATTTTATACTATGCTGCAATAATAAAAATACATACATACAAAATAATAATTTTTATTTTATTATTTACAATAAAATATTAAATATTCGTCTATTTAATGCATGACTCTTCACTCGAATGTAGCTAATTTTTTTTTAGAGAATTTGCTAGGAACTAATGTGGAAACATTTTTCTCAGAAAATTATTTCGTAATATATATTTTATAAACTATCGTGTGTATCATTCTTTTTATAATAAAAATGCTATGCTATAGGAATCAATTGTCAAAATATAAAGAAAGACATATTCTTAGGTATTTTCGTTCATATATGTCTGTCCTTGTCCCACACTATCGCCGTCCTTGTCTAGGGCGCTCATATGTCTGTCCTTGTCGCACGCTATCGCTCTCTTTGCCTAACGACGCTACACAAGGAAAGCAATAGTGTGCGACAAGGACATCCTTCGATTTATTAAAAAAAAAAATTCAACTTTTTACACACGTTTTTCTAGGATAAAACATACATAGAAAGAAAGCGGGGAGCCTAATTTTACGGACGCACATAAAAAAGTTCGCAAATTATTCCTCAGAATTAGGTTTTTTTCATAAAAAGTGCGAACTGTCACAAAATGGACATGGTGGCGCCATCTAGCGGTAACTTAGTAGTACTAATTATTTACAAAAATAATTATTTCAGCATTTTACGGGTCAAATGGAGTATGAAAAGAAAACTAAGGGTTTAATTAGGGTAATACAATCGCCAAAGTTCACAATTCATTTCGCTAAATTAGGTTTTTTCGCAAATGAAAATTGATTTCTCTGTTTTACGGGGTAAGAAATACTAGCGCCGCGTTGTGGCAAACCGATGGAATTAACCGCTCTATAACCATATAGGGAGAATAATTAATTGTAATTTTTCACGCCACAAATTACGTTCGCAAATAAATCCGAATCTAATATTCACTATAGTTTGCACGAAATTATGCACTCACTACAGGCACTACGTAATTGAAACATTCTTTATATACGTAAATTATACTTAAAATAAAACAAAAACCAAGCTTAGGGTCTCTAAAATCGAAGACGAAACCATAACAGTTCACAAATGATTCCTCTTAATTAATATCTTCTCATAATTTGTGACAGTTTTTCCTTGGTTTTTGTTTTATTTTAAGTATAGTTTACGTATATAAAGAATGTTTCAATTACGTTAGTAGTGCCTGTAGTGAGTGCATAATTTCGCGCAAACTATAGTGAATATTAAATTCAGATTTATTTGCCAACGTAACTGATAGCATTATCTTTGAAATATGTGCTCGTGGAGTGCAAATTAGTAGCGTGAAAAATTAAAATTAATTATTCTCCCTATATGGTTATAGAGCGGTTAGTTCTACCGGTTTGCCACAACGCGGCGCTAGTGTTTCTTACCCTGTAGTGACCATTACTCCTTCAAAATTAATATCAATGCCATAATATCTACACAATCGTTCTGTCGAAACATACGATTCCTGTAAATCGACACCAGAAACTGTAAATTGTTATTCTATTTTTATTATCACTATGGAGATTACTACCTTGTTTACTTGTTGATAGAGATGTATATATAGACTTCATTTTAGAATTAGTTATTCATTCCTTAATTAACATTAAAAGAAAACAGTTATCTATTTTTGCTATAAATTTTATTATTATATAATTTATTATAATTTATTAAAAGTTACTAAAGTGACGAAGTCTTAGTTATTTGTAGTATTATAATATTATCATTATAATCACCACAACCCCGTAAAATAGAGAAATTTTCATTTGCGAAAAAATCTAATTTAGCGAGATGAATTGTGAACTTTGACGCTTGTATTACCCTAATTAGACTCTTAGCTTTCTTTTCATACCCCATTTGACCCGTAAAATGCAGAAATAATTATTTTTGTAAATAATTAGTACCAGTGAGTTACCGCTAGATGACGCCACCATGTCCATTTTGTGATA